GGATACAAAAGTCCAGCTCCTACGGAGGCGTCTCCATCCAGCACTGTCATTGGGGTTCCCGTGGCCGCAGGCCCAGGACACGGCCTTCAGGACCCTCCCGGGAGGTCCTGCTCCTTTGTGGACGACAGCCTGCATGCACTTTGTCCCTAGCAGTACCTGCTTGCAGTTCACCAAGCTTACCTTCTTCCCAGGGAGTAGGTGCATGTTAACACACCTTGACTTTTTTATTCCCTTCCCCTCCCCAGCCACGTCCATCTCTAAATCTCTTGAACTGTGGATTTTCTGCCACAAATTTTATGTTTGCATGGTCATTGCCCGCACTGTACATGTTCACCTTTTAGAAACAAAAGATTTTGTAGAGTTCAGGGACGGGGCAAAGGGTCACACTATACATTCCTGTTTCCCACACGCGTGACCCCACTCTGCAGATCGCAGGTCCTGTGTGCGCATGGCACGAGCCACCGTAGAGCCGCACCCTCAGCGCAGCGTGCGAAATCTGATTTGACATCGATGGAGAGGCAGGAACACAAGAGTTCAGAAATTAAACAGCCTTGGCGTCTAGGGGGCGCTGCACCAAAGCCACTGGTGCTCACGTCGTACTGTAAAGACCAGGGAGGGTGGCTCGGGGTTGTAATCTCGGGACTCAGGAGGCTGAGGCAGGGAGACCAGTATTACATCACAACTCTAGCTCAGCGACGAAGTGGCATTTGCATATGGCCTACGTACATACTCTAACCACAGCTGGATTAATTATAGCACCACATAAATGCTACGTAAGCGGCCGCTATACTGGTGGAGTGTGGTGGCACATGCCTGTCACCCCCACGCCACAGGAAGCTGAGGAGGACTGAATATGAATCTACCTTAGCAATTTAGTGAGCCCGTCTCAAAAAAAATAGTTGGAGGTGTACCTGTGTGAAGGCCCTGGGTTAAAGCTCCTGTCAAAAAGAAGTTACACTGTACTGTTTAGAAATGATGGTAACAATTTCTGAACATGTTCAGTGCAGAGTTTCCCCCATAATTCTGATCTGTGAATAGCTGGGCCAACAGGGGCAGAACCCATGGACATGGAGGGCTGTGTCATTACAAACATTTCATATCGCACCCTTCAGAGGTGTGGCCTGCTACAACCTGTGCCAATTATGGGGGGGGGGGAGACACAGAAATGCATCTGCTGTTAAACTGTGTCTCTGTCACTGCGGGTCACCCTCGGAGTGCCACACCACTACGCTTCCGTGGAAGAAAATGAGCAGTCCGGATCCATGTGGTCTTTATTGACTTGACAAATACAGGGAAATGTGCAACATTCTATCAAGATTATATTTTACCAAGAATGTGAAAGGTATTTATTTTAAAAAGCCGTATTCACAGTCCATGTGAACTCTGTCCCAAGCAGCATCCACGGGAGCAGAAGCCAGGCACAGGCCTGCTCCCACAGCGGCCACAGTCCAGCGCTGGTGCAGCCTGGCCGGCTGTCTGCTTTTCAGCGGTCATGTATCTCAGAAGCAAAAGTGCTTTCTGGGAAGCGCTTCCGGCTACCAGAGGAGCTGAAGAGCCGGCACCGCGTTCCAGGGCCAGGGTGGATCTGGCGCCCCAGCACCAGGCCAGGAAATAGCGCCGACATTCAAGGAAAGGGTTCACGTCAGCACCGGGGTGCTTTCACCAGGAAATCCGAGGAGCCCCCACCAGATGAGCAGGCCGCTGCAGGGAGACCGCAGGCGATCTGGGAAGGAGCTCGACGAGCGAGCGCTTCAGTGCGCGCACTCGGCTCCCGTCACAACTCTGGCCAGGGCCGGGGCCGGGGCCAGCGGAGCCCAACACGTCCGCTCTATCGTCTATCTAGGCAATTTGAAAACAGGTGCGATCCCAAGCCTCAGCCGGAGACCACCGTTTATGCGGCCCACAGGGTACCGCGCCATCACAGGGGTGGAACTCAAGATCTAGTTTTCACGTCTGCAGAAATGTGTGTTCAGAATGCCCTTGGGGCGAGAAGCATGGAAGAAAACCTTGTCCTTGTATACACGCTGCCCGAAGCAAATCAGTGAGGGACAGCACCTTCCTGAAAGGCCTGGTTTCTGCAACAGGCAGCTTTCTGGCATCAGTTCTGTAAGCGCTCGGTGGAGTCTGAAAAGCGGCCGCCGGCCTATCTTAGAGATGGTGCAGAGGTCAAGCCAACCGAAGGGCGGCTCCACCGCACGACTCCCTCGGTGTGTCTCCCTCGCCTTCGCATCTCAGACCCCAGCTCCACCCTGGCACTAGAAGTCAGCACAGCCCTTTAAAGTGGATTCTGAGCTTTTTTCCTTACAGGGTGTCATGAATGTCACACAGCCTAGTTCTGGGGGCAGTGGTAGTGACTTCCTGTAGAGATGTCTGACTCAGAAGACCCAATCTGGTCTTCTTTAGTTTAACTTTCATTTCACACCTACACATTGTGATCAAGAATACTTACTAAGTTGCTTAAGGCCAAGAAAGAACCAAGAACTAAACAATTATTCCTTTAGCCACCCATTACAGAAAGGGCTCTTGGAAACCAGTCTTAGAAGATTCAAGAGTTTAAGATGGGAAACAGCTTTTTTAGTTGTTCCTTGTGTGGTAAGGTTTCTTCCCCCCACTGCTGGGGTTGAGCCCTAGTGCATACTGGGCAAGCACTATTTCCTTCCAGGTCATTTATAAAACTTCCTATTGTCCACTTTTTCTCACTGAGAAATGAGGTCATATAGCCATGACCCTTGAACCACACACTAACCTGCTGAGAAAACCAGCAACAAGTGCCCTTGCTCCCTGGCACAGTCGCAGGCCTTCTGAGTTTCGGGGCTGTATTCCCGCAGGCACCAGCAGCTCCTCCATGCAAGGCCGCTCCTCGGGCCAGGCCGCCCAGACGCCGCTGCTGCCCCGTCTTCCTGAGCAGGCTGGCTGGCCAGGTGGTGCCTGCTGCTCACAGCCGATCCTCCTGTGCGTGAGGCAGCCCTCCGCCAAGCTGCTGCTGCTCCCTCCGGTAATGCTGGCTTTCATGGTGGAAGACTAGTACCATGGTACTTCAGAAACCAAGACATGGTTCAAACTTGAAGAGATAGGGTTATTGTCATCTTTCTACACAGGACAATATATAGGCTGGACACACACACAATCACATCCTCTTTGTCATGGAAGATAACACACTTGGGATCCTTACACAAATCAACTACTCTAGGTCACAGCTCCAAAAATGCCTTGAATCTCAAATGGTGTGCAGGTGCAAGGTCCCGAGTTCTATCCCCGGTGACACTGGGGCCTCCTCGGTGAGCTCCAGTTTCGGCTTAGCTTTTTCCTGCTCTTCTCAGTGACTGAGGGGAGCCAGTTTTTACTCCCACTCAGATTAGTCCTAGCACCCCACCACTCAAGTTGTTTTTCTCCTTGAGGTACCAGAGACTGAACCCAGAGCCTCGTGCACATACTGGGTGCATTACCCCATCCTGAGCTACTCCCGCTGATTGAAAGCAGGATCCAGACTTCACAGAGTCCCACCATGGGACAAATGATGGGGGCGGGGGGCAGCAGGCAAAGGGAGAAGTGGACCTTTCTTCCACAGGAAGAAACAGGGTCTTACAAATGCCTGGGCTGTGCCTATGGCCAGGGCCTCTCAGTGGTGAGGAAGGCTTGAGCCTGAGAGCTCACCTAGCTGCCACAGGCTCCCGGCCCTGAAAGGATCTGCCTAACAAGTCACTTCAGCCAGTTCACATAACCCCAGTCCACTGAGGAGGGCAGTGCAGCCAGGGGCGACAGGTGCCCACTGGAAGGCCCGTGCCCACTGCCCAGCTGTGAGCTCACCACCCTTGAGTGGGGCTCAGCAGCTAGTTCTTCTATGTCCTCCTGTAGGGTTAACTTACCAAGTACAATAGCTGTCTCTAAACTCATGGTCTATACTGGAACAACTAGTTCATAAACCCTAGGTAGGGCTACTGACCCAAACATTTCATCCCAGTATTAAGAATTAAACTCGGGGTCGGGGAGATGGCTCAGTAGGATAAGCACTTGACTGACAAATGCAAGGATCTGAGTTCAATCCCCGGTTCCGCCAAAAAAAAAAAAAAAAAAAAAAAAAAAAAAAAAAAAAAAAAAAAAAAAAAAAAAAAAAAAAAAAAAAAAAAAAAAAAAAAGAATTAAACTCAAAGTGCCACAGCACTAGCCCTTTTTGTGTTTTGTGAAAAGGTTTCACTAAGTTGTTGACTGGCCCTGCTGAGGACTGGCCGTTTTTTGCTCAGCCTCCCAAGTAGCTAGGAGTTTTTTCTTCTTTGCAGTGCGGAGGCTGACCCCAGGCCTCAGGTATGCTAGGGAAGCACTCTCCCACTGAAGAACTCTCCCAGCTCAAGGAAATTCTAACCTCCTGTCAGACAGAAGAAAGCCAGGACAGAAAGTGCTTCACCAGCCTTTTTACTCTTCTTTAATTCTGCTTTCTTTGGGCACATACCTTATGTACTACCAGAGGACTCGTGACAGCAAGGTTCTTGGCACTGGCTCATAACACATTTTCTCGCACCAAAGAATTCAGCTGTGGATTAGCAGACCTGCGTGCTGCCTCACCAGAGCTGCCGCCTCTGCTGTGGAACACAACTGCTGAGGGGGATGAAGGACAAGACAGCACAGGTGGCAAGCAAACATGTAAATGTACCTAAAAATTAGGAATTCAGTGGAAAACTCAGAATTTACTTAGAGTGATAAGGGACTACTTCATTATTTCCAGAAGCTTCTGAATTTGGAACCTGAGGTTAAGACTTTCAGGACAAAGCAAATTAGCCAGACTGGTGGTGGACAAATGGCACCCACACCCGGCAAAGGCTGCTTGAGAACAATAGTAGACTGACCAACACCTCTGATGTGACTCAAAGGGGGTGGGCGTGGGGACTTCAAAAATTAAGTCTGCAGCAAGAAAAGTCTGGAAGTGAAAGTCTGGGCCCTTCTGACCTTTCCACTTTGCTGCTGGCACCTGCTGTACGCACAGTACCTCCGAAAGAAGTTCAGAATTCAGTTAGTACAGATTTATTAAGTTGATTTCCAACATGTAGTTTCTGGTAGAGTCCTGTTTGGTTTCAATTACTTCATTTAACCTCCTGGGAATGGTAGTCCTGAGAGCTCGCAGCGTGGATGGATCTCCTGCAGCCAAGGGTCACATTGCAGGTGGTCACAGCAGCTTCCGGGCCCGCACATTTGCTTGTCTTTGTCCTTCAAATCTGTGGGTTTCACCCCGAGGGACATGGCCCACCATGATGAAGTACGCGAAGCCACTTCCCAGACACCTCCGCCCACAGCCTCCCAGTGTGGACGGTCAGGAAAACCCGGGAGAAGCTGCCGAGGTCCAGCTGGGAATTGTGACTTGGTGAGATGGGGACACAGGCAAATCACCATGTGCCCCGGGATTTTATTACAATCAAAGGAGGACGGCCCCGGGGCGCTGGGAGTGGGACGCTAGATGTAGAACTGATGGAATGCCAGCTGGTCCATAAAGGGCTGCACCAGGTAATCTGTGGCGAAGTAGAAAACGAGCCCAAAGGTGATGGAGATGGGGAGCGCTGGCAGCGCCTTCTTGAAGATGGCCAGGAGCAGCAGCGTAAGGCACAGGCCCTGCGGGGAGACGGAGGCAGCACTCGTGCGTAACTAGGAAAGCACTGTGCCCAAGACAAGGCAGCAAGTCTTCGCTAACTCAGTATTTTCCTCTGGATTTAAAATAATTTGTGCTGGGGCTGGTGAGATGGCTCAGTGGTCTAAAGCACCTACTTAGAACAAGCTTAGCAAAGCACAGGGACCGCGGTTCAATCCCCCAGCACCACATGCCAGCCCCACCCCCTGGTGGGCTGAGCTGGCCACACACACACACATATATAAATAAATAAATTAAAAAAAAAAAAAATTGTGCTTGCCTGGCAAACACAAGGTCCTGAGTTTGATTCCTAGTACCAAAAAATTAAAAGGAAAAAAAAATTTTTTTTCAGGTGGCATCTTACTGTGTGCTTCAGCCTGGCCTTGAACTCACTACATAGCCCAGGCCTCCAACTCACAGCAATTCTCCTACCTCAGCTTCCCAAGTGCTGGGATCACAGGCGTGCACCTCCATGTCTGGCTTCTGGGCTTAAATGTGGAAGAAGAGCCATAAAACAAAAACACAGTTGCTGTTTTTTCTCTTTTGGTGCTGAGGACTAGAGCCAGGGCCTGGTGCATGCTAGATGTGTGCTCTACCACCACTACAGCCGCCGCCGCCACCACCGCCGTTTTCCCCGTGGGGACTGAACCCAGCGTTTTCATACAGAGCTACATCCCCAGCCCTTAATTTTTTTGAGGGGGAGGGGCTGGCTTTAAGACAGGGTTTCACTAATTCAGAGTCTCCCAGACTGGGCTCAAACCTAAAATCCTCCAGTCTCAGCCTTCAACAGCACTAGGATTACAGGGGTGCACCACTGTGGAATTTTCTAACTAAAAGAAAAGCACACTTATTTTCCTTCACTCCACAGAGCTGACAGTACACTGTTGATGTTCTATTTCCTAATTTCAGGAAAGTGAAAGAAACTGAACATAGGTAAAATGACTTGAAAAAAATTAAATAATACATTAAGTTCTGCCTGCAGCACCGTGTGGGCTTTGGTGAGTGGAGTTTGGCTGCTGAAATCCCAGGGGCAAAAGGCACCCTGTGCCACGCAGAGCAAGAGCGACGCTCCCAGGAAAGCGGTCAGGGGCACGTGCGCAGAGCAGCTGCCTTCTGTGAGCACGCAGCAGGTACAGGCAGGGTGCATTTTCACCCTAGCTACTGAGACACAAGCCATCGACTCTGCGGGCTGAGCACCAGTTCAGTTTACTGAAAACAAATGATTTTTTTTTTTTTAAAGACACCCCTGGCTGTGGCTGGGCGGGACTCAGGAGAGGCATGTGCCTGGCGCATGCCAGGCCCTAGGCTTGAGCCCCAGCACCAAAAACAAACAAAGGATACAGCCAGAAAGCTAACCCTAAAAGGCACATGTGAACAAGTCTGTGCCAGAGCTCAGCTCCAACAGGCCCACGTGACTTTCAGAAGCGGCCGGGGCCAGGCGACTGAGCTCAGGCCCAGTCGTGCGGGCTTACGAGAAGCCTCCTCTCGGGGTGCTGGCAGCTGGCGTACTGGTTATGCTCACAGTTGCCTCAAAAGGATGCGCTGCTCAGAGTACACCGGGAGGCCCAACGCAGCTCCACTAGCACATACTCACAATCAGTATGGCCACGAAACAGGCTATGGTCGTGTTCCAGTCTCCACTGGCAGTTGCTGAGGCTTTGCCAACCAGAACACTGTAGAAAATGAAATCTCCCAATCCAAGTTTTACTCCCCCTGAAAAAGGAAAGATTTTTTAATGTAAAAGGAATTACCATTCTTTGCACTGATCCTGTAACTTAAAAACATTGCCCTGAACTGAACGTATGCCCACTGTCAGCCACTCAGGAAGCTGAGGCAGGAGGACCACCTGAGCCTGAGCTGGAGACCACTTGGACAACAGAAGGAGCCTATTTGAGAAAACAAAAACATGATACAGCATTGAGTGCAAAGTAACAGCCTAGCTCTGGCAAAGATTATTCCTATTTTTTGAGACAGGGCCACTGATGCTCTAGGCTGGTCTCAAAACCACTGTGTAGTCCCTGCTTCTAACCTGTGATCCTCTGGACTCAGCCTCCCATATGTAGTCATGCGTGACCATGCTTAGCTTTCCAAGATTTTCTTCCTTCTGGTTTCCTACAAAGGAATTTCAGATTCTACGCTGACTCTGATGTCTCAATAGATGCTGCTGTTATATACCAACAGCAACAAATCCCAATTGTCACCCACAGAATGCCTGCCTCATACCTAACATACCTGATTGAGGACTCCTGTTCCGTACAGGTCACCACGGTTGTCAGTGTGTGATTCAGTGACCAGAAAATGCAGAGCTGTGTGACCAGCAACGCGGTCACCCCCAGAGACCCAGCTCTGTGGCCTGGCTCTGAGTGCCCACTCACCCACACTCCAGCTCTGAAGTAGCCCTCTCTAGACATCTTATGAAAACAGACTCATACTGGGGCCTGGGAGATGGCTCAGTGGAATAAATGCTTCCCTGGCAAGCACAAGGGCCTGAGGTTCAATCCCCAGTTCTGCCAAAGAAACAAAACCAAACCAAACCAGACTCATACAAATGGAGCGTTTTGTGGCTGGACTAAAAGTTGAACTGCACAGGCTGTTTTGAAAACATATGTGCCTTTTAGAAACCAGATTCTAGAGCAGAGGAGACTGCACTGTAACCATGCTGGGCACACCCTTGCAGAGGTGGTCATGTGTGCTGGAGGCTGAGGGGGTGAAGAACGTGTGACCAAGACCAGGGAGCACCACGCCGAGTGCACATCAGGGGTACCTACTCTCTTCAGGGTCTTCACCGGTGAGGGTGCTGCTGGAGAGTTCTTGGGCCGCAGCCCGCGACTCGGGTGTGGAGCGCTGGGGCCCCAGGCGACTGTCTCGCTGTGCCTCCCACTCCTCACTGAAGCCACCGTCATCGGCCTCTCTGCTGTCAGTGTCCTGTGCCTCCCGTTCTGTGTCTTGGAGAGAAAGTGGCAATTAGAGCTCTCTATCCAAAAGCATTTTTTAATGTCTTTAAGAAAAGTAACAACCTGCTTGGTAACCAAGTCAACTCACTCTTAACCCATGGAGGATTAGCTGGGCAGCAGCACTGGCCACCCACCCAGGAGCCATCCTCCATTTCCCGAGGGCAGAGTCCTGGCTTGCTGGGGTTTCCTTCCCTCACCCTTGATCATGGGGTCAAATCCTGATGAAGCTGAGCCAAGCATGGTGAGCCCAGAACCCTTCCCTCCTCCCTGTAGAAGGCTTATGGGCTTCCTTGTAGGAATCAGAGCCTACAGCTGAGGAACTGACTCAGTACAGCCAGCGAGTGCTGGGCACAGCCTATGGGAAACTGGGGAATTCTCTCCTTTGTCTTTTTGAGAGGAAACAATGGTCCCTTTCTCCCTCCTGCAATTCCTGCAGCCTGGATGATTCCTGGAAATGCAGCTGTGCCCGTGAGGAGCAGTCCTACAGAGCAGGAAGAAGACTTAGTCCTTGCTAATATCAACGGGCCCCCAAATTATCAAGACACCACAGATACGAATGGAATGTGTAAGGACTTCGAGAAGAGTGTATTTCTGCTCTAAGGCACCTGAGCTGTTTCTGCTCAGCAGAAAGCTCCTAACAGCTAGCAGAACTCTGGCTCCAGTGACTAAATACAGAAGGGGACTAGGGGGCGGGTCCCACAGCAGGTGGTGCCGTTTCAGTGACTACAGCCCGACTGAAGACAGTGAGTGAGACTGCTTCTGAGATGCGCCAGCCGCACATTACGAACACTGAAGCACCTGAGTGGAGCGGGTTACACTTTTCCCCTCTTCTGTAGTGCTGGGTTGAAAGCCAGGACTTCGCACATACAGTACTCATCAAGGGCTCCACCAATGAGCTATGCCCCAGGCCTCCCTTTTAATTTCTATAAAAGTACCATGCGCTCGCTGTGCAAGCAGCTTTATCGTGAATAAAGCAAGCCTGTGCACGTTAGGGCTCTTGTGTGTGGGGACTTCCTCTGTGAGGGACTGAAGCAACTGTGCTCTGGTCACTTCATATTCTTTTTTTGACTGGGTAAGAATCTTAGCTGAGGGGCTGGTGAGATGGCTCAGTGGTCTAAAGCACCTACTAAGAACAAGCTTAGCAAAGCACAGGGACTGCGGTTCGATCCCCCAGCACCACATGCCAGCCAGCCCCGCCCCCTGGTGGGCTGAGCTGGCCACACACACACACACACACACACACACACACACACACTAAGTAAATAAAATTAAAAAAAAAAAAAAGAATCTTAGCTGACTCTAACCTGAATCTTACCTGCTTAAGAGGTTACAAAATCATGGAAGGCTTATAAACAAAAACACCCATGTCTAACTGCCTCACCCTTCCTCTTGCTTCCAACTCTTGGCTGTTTCTTCTGCTATTTATCTCCACAATTAGTGAGGACTAGCACGCCGGTCTCAAGGCTTTAACCTGCTCACACCCTTCCCACACTCAGGAATTGAGCTTGTCCTATCCTCCCACTTAGGTTGAACTCTTTTATATTGTTGCTATGCAAAAAGGATTTACAACCAAACTACTCTACCTCAGCTCCATTGTGTACTTACATTATTTTAAAGAACCTTGTTTTCTCTGGAACAGTGCCTCATTCCCCCGACTACTGTCCTGTACCACCCGGGACTGGGCTGTCCCGACAGCAATCACTTTTCCTTGTACAGACATTGCTCTTGGAGCCCGTCTGTTCTGATCTCCAACTTCTAGTTCCTCCCACAGAATGGTTTTTAGCTAGAGCCTGCACCTGCCCTGCAGGCTGCACAGAAGAATCCACAGCGGAGGAGGCCATGGCTGCTGCAATGCTCGGAGCTGCTGCTGCACCGAGCGAGCGAGGGCAGGGACGACGCCCATCCCGCCCGGAACCGCGATCAGGGCCTGGGCGCTCAGGCAGGACCTGTGCTCGCCTGACTCCTGATCACGGGAAGCCCGGGCCCGCGTGGCCCTTGCTGCAAAGCTCTTCTTCCCCCTTCTCCTCTCTGCCATGAGCCGCTGTCACTAGCTATAACTTGGACAGTCCAGGATGAATCGAATCCCACTACTTCAAATCGCAGCAATTTATACTTTATGGTACGTGTCATAATTGTATGAATTACAAATGCTCGTCTGCCAAAAAGATGATGAGCTCAAAACAGGAAGCAATGTCTTGTTCAGCGCTGCAAACTCCAGAGCCTGGCAAGGCCCTGAGCACACAAGCACTCAATCAACATCCGGAAAAAAAAAAAAAAAAAATCCGCAATGTGCTGAGTCCTCATGAACACAGGCACGTGCAGTCCCCAACAACGTGCAACTGTCCTCTGGCTTAGTGCCACAACCGGGCTGGCGGCAGCTGCTGGCAGCTACCTCCTATTCTCTGCTGCGCCTCCTCCTGGTCGAATGCCTCCCTGCTCCGCTGCCTTCCCCGGTGCAGCATACCAAGCAGGAGGCCCCAGCAGCAAGTGCCACGATGCTCTGGAGCACTGTTTTCATTCCAACCTCTCCCTTTGCTGACAACTCATATATATTTCATCAGTGAGGTTTTTTTTGGGGGGATTGGAAAGGGTCCTGGAGATGGACCCTGGGCCTTCACACTGAGCTACATCCCAGCCCTCCTTTTATTTTTTAATGTATTTAGTGCAGGGTCTACAGGGTCTCACCACACAGTCTCACTGCTCTCTCAGTGCACCCCAGGCGCAGGGCCACCATGGCATATGGTTCCCTTTACTTATTTTGAGACAGGGTCTCACTAAATTGCTAAGTTGCCCAGGCCAGACTTGAACTTGTGACCCTCCTGTCTCAGATTTCTAGCGTGCTGGTCACAAGTCTTTGCTTCTGCTTTTCAGGCTTGTGAGGCTGGCTCTTTGTTTTCCTTTTTTAAAACATTTCCTTTCTTTTTCACTACTTCCACTGTGTTGCTATTCCTCCACTGGAAGAACAGCTTCTAATCTGTGTTCTCCTTCGCACTTTCTTGCTGTGGCATCCACCTTAGGCTCTGCAGAATGATGCCACTCTCAGCCCCCACCGCTATCTGCTCCCAGGTCACATGCCCCTTGAACAGGTGGTCCATTTAGCTTGACCATTATCATGTCTCAAATCAAGTATATTTGTTACTCTGGTCATGCTGGACAAGAGGCCCTCAACTTTGTATGTCTGCAGAAAGATCTTAGTTGTTCTGTTTTTTAATCATAGCCTACAAACCAGTATTATGCACCGAATGGTGTGTTTATTTTGTTTTGCAACATGGTCTCACTGTGTATCCCAAGCTCACCTCAACTCACGCAACCCTCCCACCTCAGTCTCCTGAGCGCTGGGTTCCAGCATATGCCACCACACCCGCCACAGGTGTTCTATGTGTCACTGAAGGTGCCATGACTGGACTGTTGGGCTGCGTCTGAACTCCTCAGACATTCATCTGTGTATCCATCAGGGATGCCGTAGCTATCTCAGGAGATCCTCAAAGTAGTCCATGACCAAAAGGCAGAGGATGAAACACTGCTTTGTAACTCACTGTTCGCCTGTGCGATGACAATGACCTGCAAAGCCAGGACTTGCCCAAGCAAAAGCCACTTACTTTGTGCGCTGTACTTGGAGCTCTTGGACACCCTCCTTTGGGCCTCTGGGTCTCCTTCAGCCATATTCACCAACCACACCATTGTTGCTGTTGGGAAGGACGAAACTCCAGTTAGCATCAGGAGCACAGCAGGAAACCGCACGGGCAGGCAGTAGGCCGTCATTTTCCTGGCGAAATCACCAGTCTCCACATTGCTGCCTCAACAGCCTTAATCAGAAGCCAGAGTATACTAAAACCCATACCAGATTCATTTTGGTTTTAATGTCTGCATCCATAGTGCAGCGGTTACCGTGAAGTACCATCTGCCGTCCCTGAAAAGCAATGGGCAGGGAACCTATTCAGGCCAGGGAGGGACCCTGGGAGGGACCCCCAGAGGATGGCCTAGAGCAGTGTGAGCCGATTAACGAAAGCAGCTCTGGAATTGGATTCCAGGACAAGCCAAGGCTCACAAGAGCCTCAGACAACGGCTGTGATTCTCTAGCAGCACGACACAAGCTTCCTTCACATTGTTTCAATTAAAACAATTTTTTTATGTATTTAGTACAGGGTCTACAGAGTCTCACTACTCAGGTCCGACTTGCAGTGAGCCTTCTGTTTTCAGCCTCCCAATCGCTGGATTACAGACAGGCACGTGCCACCATGCCCAGTCTCATTCGCCCTCAGTGCACCCTGAGGGGGGCGCTGGCGGGGCACCCTGGGGATCAAATCCTGGTCCCTGAATCTGCCTAAGCAGGCACTTTAATCAGCTGAGCTATCTGGCCCGCCCTGTTTCAGTTTTATAATCTTCATGGCTAAACGGTTTCTACATGAAGTAAAGAAAGGTTAAAGGCAATAAGCTTGAGGAGGACAGCTAACAGGCTTTTATGTCCTTTTTACACACACACACACACACACACACACCCTAGATGCACAATTAAATGAACATAAACACTTTAAAACGGAGCTTGTCTCTATTATATACTGTAGTCAAAATAAAAAATGGTACCGTCTCTGTGGGAGGGGAATTTGGTAATATCTAACCAAACTCTGGGTGCGCTGATCTTTTGACACAACACCCAACTTTTGGCTCTCTTTCTGCCAGTATGGGAGACAGAATCCTGGCTTTACCACCGGGCCCAGCCTTCTATGCTTTTATTTTGAGACAGGGTCTTGCTGGCCTCAGACCTGTGACCACTGTGCCCCAGCCTCCTGAGGAGCTTGCTCTTGGTTACTACTCCATAATTTCATGCATGTTTTTGAGGAACTTAAGGTTTCTTGAAGAACTTATGCATTTATGAAAGAGCCACACAGCCAAAGCAGCTGAGCCTTCCACTGCAGCCACATCTGCACAGGCCAGGCAGGCAATGCACTTCTGTTTTTGGTCTTTTTTTTTTTTTTTTTTTTTAATATATTTAGTACAGGGTCTACAGGGTCTCACGTAAATTGGACTTGCTGTGATTCTATGTTCAGCCTCCCAAGTGCTGGGATTACAGGCGTGCGCCACCACGCCCAGTCTCCCTGTCAGCACACCCTAGGGACAGAGCCCACAAGGCACGCCCGGGATAGGACCCGGCCCGGCCGCTGCGCTCTGCCTAAGCAGGCTGATTGCTTCAGTCCACTTTTTGGTCTTTTTGAGATAGGGTCTCGGTATGCAGCTCACGCTGGCCTGCAGTTTGCAATGATCCTCTGGCCTCAGGTTCCTGAGTACTGGGATTACAGTAGCTGCACACCACCATGCCTGGCTTGGAGCCAGTAAGAGAGAAACAGGGAGGCAGAGGCTGGGTGCAAAGCTGACGAGCGTCTACTGCTGAACCCGCTCGGAAGCAGGCCTGTTCAGCAGCTGAATCCCTCCCACCATTCTGGCTGCACACTGAGCTGAGTGTGAACTCAATCAAGTTTGATGGTTAGGTTCAATGTTTAAGATTTAAATTCTAGGTTTTAAAAAACCTGCTCAGACTCAGTCGTAAAACCTCACAAGGGTAGTATTTCAGGAAAGCAGACTTATCTTGAAGTACCCCACCTCCACAGAGGTAAACGATCCTTCCTTCATATACAATGTGTCACGCAACACATAAGTGCCTTGAACTTCACAGTTCACAGACTACTTAACTTCATGAAGTCAGCTTCTTTGGCTGTGTAGTTCTTTCATATATTCTTCAATTATTTATACAGACTTGGTGTCACCTGTGACAGATACTTATTTCTGCATTCTAATCCTGGGTTTATTCAATACAATTCCTTCACACAATAAAGTACAAACACAACCTTATCTAAAATGCTACAAAGTTACAAAGTTCAAATTTTATAGCACTGACTGTACAATAAAAGCCAAGAAAGCAATGTAAATGCTGCTAAGATAACCTGCAAGACCACCATGAATAGCAAGTGAAATGGGGGGGGGGGTTCCCCATGAGGATCTGCTCTGCAAAGCTGGCTCTCAAAACTGCTCACCAACATCTGAGAGTAAAGGAGACAAATGGGGTACAGATGTAGTTGAGAACATGGAAAGACAGAACCACTTATGGCAACTAAGGAGGGGTGTTCGTGCATTCTCTCTCTGGGTGTTTGACCCTACACGCTGGATGATGACTCAAGCAGGAATCAAAGGGCCAGGCCTAATGGGAATGGGACACTGGTCCCCAAGGTAGGACCAGACTGCCAACTGCCCCCAAATCATCTGGAGAGGTGGGGGCACTCTGCCACCCACAGGCTTGTTCGTTCCTATAGGCTCTGCCACTGAACAGACCCTCAGAAGATGGGTGAACCTCCTAGAGACAAAACTGCTGGTTCCCTTATGGACACAGACCTAAACCAACAGCACTTCTGCAGCCAGAACCCGCCTGAAGACCAAGTGCTCCACTGCTGCCTCTGAAGTCTGCCTGAGCGAGGGATCCTCTTCTACTGCTCCACACTTTAGACTAAAGAAGTGACAAAACCAAGCTGAGTGGGATGTAAGTCACAGGGGTGGGCTTCTTACTGGAAAGAACTGGAGCTGTAGTGGCTCCTGGAGCTACAGCAGCCACGCGGGACCACCTGTGCACAGGGGACCTGCCTCTTGGGGAGCCTGACCTCATCATTCATGGGAGTTGAGACAGATATGCTATTTATTTTTTTGTGGCCGGCTGAGCTGGCACTGGGGATCGAACCATGGTCCCTGTGCGCTTGCCTAAGCAGGTGCTTTAGACCTCTGAGCTACCTTCCAGCCTTGAGACAGGTATTTTAACACAACAGAGTAAATGACTTCCTGACAAACACACTTAACGTGGGAGGCTGAAAGTACGTTTTAAATGTTTCAAAGCCCTTGCGCACCTGCACCTGCTGAAGTGGAGTGGACTTGCTGTCCTGCTCCACTGTGGGTGAGCTGCTCGCCAGACACTTTGCCAGCGCTCAGTCTGGACCTCAGGCCTTTCCGGCCTCTTGCACTCCAACCAAGCTCGCAGGGCCCGGCTGGAGGGGCAAACACAGAGCAAAGCTACCAGCAGAACTCACAGCACACAGCACAGAGGCAGTGACCGGCTGCTGGGCTAGAATGAGTGAGTGTGACCCGGCCTTTCTGTCTAGCACTAGGACTTACTGTGTCTCTGCTGCGTATCCACCCCTCGGACAGAGCGTGACGCTAACAAGCGCCCGCTGAGAGAGCAGAAGGGAGCTAGCCAGGGAGGGAGACACGGCACTGGCCCAGCTGCTGAGTCACTACCATGCCCCACGTGTTCAAAGGCTTTTTAAAAAATTTATTATTTTGAAATCATTTTAGGTCCAAAGAAAAGTTGTAAAAATAATATAAAGAATTTACATATATGCTAAATGTTTACTTTGATATCCTGAACTGGAAAAATTGTAAATTATAATTAAAAATACACAGATGGAGTATACAGAAGTTTTTTTGTTTTTTTTTATATTTTATTTATCTATTTGTGTGTGTGTGTGTGTGTGTGTGTGTGGCCAGCTCAGCCCACCGGGGGTGGGGCGGGCTGGCATGTGGTGCTGGGGGATTGAACCGCGGTCCCTGTGCTTTAGCTAAGCTTGTTCTAAGTAGGTGCTTTAGACCACTGAGCCATCTCACCAGCCCCTACAGAAGAGTTTTAACAGCTCAATCTCTAAATCCTGCTTCCTAAAGGGAAGCACTAGGAATATATTTTCAGTTTCTTTAATGCATCATTGGGTATTTTAAATACATAGACATTCATAAATATACAGTGTTTCTCCTATAGGTTATTGCGCACACTGCTTTATTTTTGTAATTAATATATAGTCTGGGGCATTTACTATCTTTTTTTGTGAGTCTTTTCAGACAGGGTCTCATTGTGCAGCTCAGGCTGCCCTTGAGCTCACTGTGTAGCACGGGCTGGTCTCAAACTCACAACGATCCTCCTGCCTCAGCCTCCCGAGTGCTGGGACTATAGGTATGCATTACCACGGCCAGCTAGTCTTGGACATTAAAAAAAAAATGACTGGCCATAAACAGAGCTGTGCTATGTGTGTGTGTGGTGCTGGGCACTGAGCTCAGAGTGGCCCACACGTGAACACACGCTCTCCGGCTGCAGCTACCCTAATCTAAGCGGACATCATTATGTAAAGTGCCCTCATGGGGAGCACTCGGGGTGCTTTTAGGGTCTCCCTGCTATAAGCACTGCTTCAGTGATCGTTCTGTATACAACAACCTAAAGCAGGCAAGGGGGCTGTAACTTCCAGGAGTGACATGCAAGAAGCACGGGTGTTTGTTAAGATGAAAATGCCGACGCCCAAAACCTCATGACTCTTTTCTGTCAGTCAACAGTGAGTACATGAGAGTTTATGCTGCAAAACGGTGAAAGAATTGAGCACTCCCAACAGTGGCTGCTGGAGCACTGCAGCAGGCTTCTGGGCACAGGCACGGCTCCAGCTCCTCCTCCGGAGCCAGGCAGAAAGAGCCCGTCACCCAGTGTGAGCCCCGGCTCCCCCTCGAGCTCGCTCGGCCTCTCCTGCTCTTCTGCTCTCCTTTCCATGAGTCCAGCTGCAGACCCTCTTCCGGAACGCGGAGAGTGAGCTTTGCCTGCTCTGCCAGGAGCCATGTGCTGGGAATCGTTGGGTCCTTAAAACCTTTGCACGCTGCCCACTGCTCAGCCTCAGACAATGACTACATCTTCCCTCTCAGGCAGGTGAGACAGCACAGTGGACTAAGCACCTGCTTAAGCAAGCACAAGGTCCTGGATTGGGTCCCCGGCACCACATGCCATGCCATGCCAGCCCTGCCCTGGGCGCACTGAGCCACAACTGAGACCAGGTGTGGAGGTGCACGCCTGTAATCCCAGTGCTGAGGAGGCTGGAAACAGGAGAACCACTACAAGTCCAAGCTGCATAGTGAGACCCTGTACCAAATACATGAAACTTAAAAAAATCTCCCTTCTCTGGGAACTTTCCTCAGACCCGTGCTGCCCACAGGACAGAAGCTTCACCGCTCTGCCCACTGTCACAGCCACTGCTGGGCCAGCCTTGCCTTTGGAATGCTGTGTCTGGTCCTGTCCTGTTGAAACTGCTCACTCTAATGTTGTTAATGATCCCTACAGGATTTAACTTGTCTTTATTACCTTTGACTTTATGGACTTGAGACTTACTTTGAAACTCCACTTTTTCAATAACCCAAAAGAAAACAGGCAAAAACCCACTCAAAACCAAAGACCAAAAATTAGGAGCATATAAGGATATAGATCAAATTGATAACTACATGGTAACACTTGAAAATTGGGGCCAGGTGTGACACACGCCTGTAATCCCAGCACTTGGGAGGCTGAGGCAGGAGGAGTGTCATGAATTCAGGTGACCCTGGGCTACACTCTGAGTCCAAGGCTAACCTGAACTACATAGCAAGATCCTGTCTCAAAACAAACAAAACTAAAGATTATGGATGATAGTTATAGTGAAATTTATCCTTAACTTTTACTTAACTTTAAATTTTTTGGGCTGGAGAGATGGCTCAGTGGTCTAGAGCACCTACTTAGAACAAGCTTAGCAAAGCATCAGGGACCACGGTTCAATCCCCCAGCACCACATGCCAGCCAGCCC